TCAAAGTGTTTTTTTATTTTTCTAAAAGTTCTTAGCTTGCCAGTATTTTCGACAGGTTGAACCTGCTCTGCCCAATACAATATAAACGCTTCTTTAAATCTATGTTTCACGTGATGGCAAACATTTCCTTTTTCTGTTTCAGATAATTCCGTCTGTAAGTTGGATAATTCAGTTTGTGAATCGCAATTTTCTCCCCCACATAGTTGCAGTGCATATTTGATAAAAACTGTTGACTTTAGGTTAAGTTCCATGCATACATTCGCTGCTTTTCCAACAAGCGTGTTTGATAACAATGAACTTTTTATTCGAAACCAATATTTTACAACCAGCTTAGCTATTTGAACGATCAAAGGCGTTCTTCCTAGCTCAGCATAAATAGCCATGTTTGTTGATTTTGAATGAACTCCTAAGACTCTTTTGCAGAATTTTAGATGAAGTTTTTCAATTGCACTATTGATTTGGAAAATATTTTTCTTGAACATTTCGAAAGAGTTTATTCTGCCCAATAAATGCGGACCCCACACTTCGCAACCGTATAATAAGATTGGGGTAACTATCGAAGAAAATAGTTTTAACATTAGTTTTATTGGAACATTTTCGACATTTGAGAAACTTTTAAATATACTATGATAGGCATGTAATGCTTTTCCGTAGATTATCTTTTGTGCTCGCTTGAAAGTACCAGAAAAGTGAAGAGTAATACCCAGATAACAATATTCATCAACTTGTTCCAAAATATTTTTACCGAATGTCCAGATTGATGTAGAATGCCTACGTTTTTGGGTTGGTGTTCCAAATACTAGAACTTTGGATTTTTTAAGATTAATGTTTAACTTCCACTTTTTGGTATAGTAAACAAGTTTTGTGAGGCAATTTTGTAACCCTGCCCTGGATTCGGATAATAAGACTAGGTCGTCTGCGTAAAGCAAACAGCTTAGATTTGTATCATTTAATTTTACTGGAGTGCATGACCTGTCAAATATATCAGGTAGATCATTAATGAATAGGTTGAATAAAGTAGGACTTAAGTTACAACCCTGTTTGACCCCTACATGTGACCTAAAGAAAGTTGTATACCCCTCTTCCAATTTTACCGAACAGTCATAGGAGGAATACATGCTTAACATTAAACGTATGAATCTTTTGCTGCAACCATTCAAGATCAATTTGAAGAAAAGACTTTCCCTCCATACACTATCGTAAGCTTTTTTGAAGTCAATAAAACAAGCAAAGATTGGTTTACGTTTTGATTTGTAATAATCTATTAGAGTTTTCAAAACTAATAGATGGTCGGCTGTCCTATAATTTTTTCTAAATCCGATTTGGCAATTACTCATAATGTTGTTTTCGTCTAGATATTTATTTAGTCGTTCATTCATGATTAATGTGAAAAATTTTCCCAAACAACTGCTTATGCATATTCCTCAATAATTATTCGGGTCGATATTACTTCCTGATTTATAAATGGGGACTATAAAACCTTTAGACCAAAGTGATGGGAAGTGTCCATTGGACAAGATTTTATTAAACAGTTTTTCAAAGTAGGATGGCATAACCTCAACTGCTAGTTTAATGATCTCATTGGACAACGAGTCATTGGCACTGGCTTTCTTATTCTTTAATCTTTTTGATAATTTGTACACTTCTTCCAGTGATACTGGTCTGTCAAGAGTATCATTTGTACCTAATGCCCAGATATTAAAATCTTTTATGATTTGTGCTTCACTGCTTGCTACTTCAGTATTGATATTTATTTTGTTCAAGTTTTTGAAATAATCAAACCATTCAGATGGTAGAATTTCGTGTGAAGTTCTAGGTTTTTGAGCTTTTATGGAGTTAACGAGTTTCCAGAAATCTTTAGGATTGTTTTCTGATAATAATTCAATTTTATTTAGTATAGAATTATGAAATTGTCTTTTTTGTTTTTTAACTGTACGTTTATATTCCTTCTTTTTTGCAAAAAAGAGATGACGAAAGTAAATGTCGTTGGGAAATTTCGAGAGTAGACTACCTAAATTTCTCAAGTTCTTTTTCAGATTGTGACAATTTCCGTCATACCATTCCTGTCTCATTTTGGTATTACCTTTTTTGATCTTTTTCTTTTGCCTCTTAATATTTAGAACTTTTTGTGAGGTATCGGACAAAGTTTCTGAGAAATTAGCTACAAGTATATCTGTGTAGGTTGCTTCATCACTAGATACACCTTTATGTTGGAAAAATAGAGATTCTAATTTATTTTCTACTTCGTTCGAACTCATGCATTCTCTTAGAGCATCCTTTTGACTTTCATTCCAAATAAAAGATTTAATATGAGGGGTTAATTTGAAAGTATCACCTGAGTTTTGTGGATATTTAATCTGTAGTATAAAAGACAGACATGAATGATGAGAAAATTCAGTGATATCTTCAACATTAAAGCCTACAACAAATGAGAGCAAGCTGTGCGAGATAACAACATAGTCAACCACACTTGCCCCGTTGTAGGTCTGACAGGTAAATTGCCCAAGGAGATCACCGTTTGTTCTTCCATTTAAAACAGCCATACCATTGCCAATACATAGATCAATGAGGGATTTCCCATAAGCATTAACATGGTGATCTTTTGAATATCGCTGGTCTAATGATGGAGTGATATATTTATCATCTTCCAAGAACTTTTTGTCAACAAAATCTTCTACAACACCTATTCTAGCATTAAAATCTCCACACAAAATGATATTGCCCTTGCTTGCAAACTTATAAATATTATTTTGGAGGTTTTCGAAATGATCAGTATTTAATCGTGATTCACGTGATGAATTCTGTGGTGGAATGTATACAGTGCAAATGAAAATATCATGTTTGAGATTAAAGAACGTTTTGTCCAATTTATACCAAACAAACTCTTCACTACTTTCCTTGTCTAAAAACTTTATCCCTTTTTTAAGAGTTGACTTAACAAGAATAGTTATACCACCAGAACTTCTACGCGAATTTTGAGAAACCGTTTTTCTACATTTTGAAAATGAATGAAAACCATCGATATTAATATTGCATTTTTCATGGGGCAACCACGTTTCAACTAAAAAGACTAAATCAAATTTATGTAGCTTTGAAATAAATTCTGAGTCATCGATTTTACTTAATAAACCTTCAATATTCCAACTTGCAAACTTTAGGAAATGCTTTGCCATCAGTTGAATAAGATAGCAAACCTAGTCTAGTATATGTATATGTATGCTAAATAAATCTATAATTATTGGTAAATTGAGGAGGAATAGTAACTTGTGGATACATTACCCGTTGGTATTGCATCCGCTGATGGTTCGTACTAATGTTGCTTTGAATTAACTGGTTCAATAAGTTTGATACCTGTTTAAGTTCATCCTGAATGCCAGTCATCGTTGGTAGAAATATTGCATTCTGTGTATCTTCCTGCGGACTCCTCCCCAACTCCTTATCGAAGTTTTGAACTTGACCTGCATTACTGTGGTGACTTCCCTCCTGGTTTTGATTGCTAGGTACACTCTTTTGTTGGGTGCTGGTGTTTTCCTTTCTGTTACCCCCGAAAATCTTACGCAACTCATTCTTGATGTTCTTTGCCAAAGCGGGGATACCAAATCTTCTATTCAAATGTTTGACATCAAAGTACAGTTTGCCATTACGTAGATTCCCATTATATACGTGGCTAACATTGGGGATATCTTTGATCTCCTCATCAATGTCATCATTAATGTCAGGGATTTTTCTATCTAACTCATCTCCTCTTGGGGTGATACCACATAGAAAAATTTGTCTTCCCGGAAATCTTTTTGCCGCCATATTTGCCATTTGAACTTGGGATTTTACAATCTCTCCTGCAGATAGGTTCTCAAGGTCATTGACTCCAGTGTTTATGATGATTCCTTTTTTGACATCAAATCTGGGAGACTCTGGCCTTTTTTGTTGTATTACAGGGAATGATTTTGCTATGTCTACTCGAACACAGCTTACTTATGTTTAAGAATTTCCTGTTCGAGTCACATAACATGACAAAGTCATATTCGTCATGATTGGTAGCATTTCCATTGTCCGGAATTTTAACGTTGGGAGTTTCGGTGTCAGGGTTTTCGGCAGCAGTGATATTGGGAGAATTATTAGCAGCAGCGTCTGGATTAGCTTCTTTGGTTGAGTCAACAACTGAATTTTAACACTGTATTAACGTTGGATTTGTGTTGATATCATCATTATAGTTTACTTTTATAGCTGTATTTAGCGAACTTACTTCGTCTTTAAATGTTTTATTGTCAATTTCTAAGCTTTTTATCCGCTTCAACAGATTGGTTTTCTCTTCCACAAGTGACCCGACCCGACCTTGGAGCCGTTTCACTTCTGTTTCTGCTTTTTTTAATTTCTCTTCCATTTCATTTTTGAAACTATTTTGGTCTTCTCGCATTACTGATAGTTGGCGCTTCAATTTGCTGTCGATTGATGTGAATAACTCGCTTTTCAATTCACACACCATATTGTTCACAACTTTACAGTCAAAAACAGAATTAGTCAAATTTTTGTCCAGATTGGCAGTAATGGTTTCCAAGTTATCTATTCTTTTGTTGCAAGAATTTACCACCTCAAGAACTTGTTGTAAATCTTTTACTTCCGAATTTGGATATGTTTTCTTAGTTGAATGAGCCTTCATATGTTTTTCCTTGTGACTTTGGGGTGTCAAGTTACTCGCCAGTAATTTACGCGACTTGATTCTTGTTTTCCTGGGGGTTTTACTTTCTTTGGCGTTTCATTAACAATTTCTTCAGGTTCTTGACACCTAGGGTCATCCTCCGAGTCGGAATCCGCATACACATCTAACGAGACATTATCAAGGTTAATGATATGATCAGGTACGCTTTGACAATAAAATTCGTTCGTGTAAAGTTCACCGGCGGTTTCTTGGTTGACATCAGGGCACAGACATAGCTTTGATACTAAACAGATCAATTTCTGGTACTCGTTTCTTTTCCATATGTCGATAAACTTTCCTTCGATAAGTAATTTCATCTTAGATATAATAGCTTTGATTGAAAATAGATTCTCGCTTGGAATTGACCCTGCAGACGCTTCTGACGTATCAAATTTCTTGATATTTATTAAAATTTCTTCTAATGTGCTGTTATCATCGATCTTTCGAAGCCATGCTACATCATAGTTGTCACGACCGCCAAGATCTAACCAATACCGTAGTTTCAGAGATAACATCCATTTATCAAAAAGATCTTTTTGAGGAATTTCAATACAGTAAATATCCCCGTCTTGATATGTTTTGATTTCTTCCGACATCACAGTTAACATGCCTTCAATTTCGCTCATAAAACTTTCTTCCAAGCCCTTTTCATCTCCAGTCTTTGACGGCTGGGGATGTTTTTCCATCTTATTTACTTGTTTTCAAGTAGAAAACTCCATAAATATGTCAGTCTCTATATGTCAGTCTTTATATGTCAGTCTCTGCAACTCGATCTCAATCAAATTGGACAAGGCGCGGTATTCATGCTCCGTTAAACTTTTAATTCAGGAAATTTATCAATCTATCTATTAATGCAGCGTATAAAACTGCTTCTTTCAACTTTTGTTCGTTTATTTAATAATATAGACATTTCAAAATTCAAATGTTTCAATTCAATCAAAACACAAAACGCCTGCGAACAGGCTATGATGTTTACAATATCCAATCAGAACACGTAGTCTATCGAACCTATAGTCAGCAGGCAATCAACTCTTTGCTTCCATTTTTGAAAGTTATGTGTGGAATGTGAACCCAAAAACTACGCCAATTTCACCAGAGGGTTATTCAAAACAGGCGAAAATAAATACCCTCTGGTACCAGGGTAAGTCTTCATTAGTAAGCTGGACAGGTGTTTGTTTCCATTTATTATTTTCTTGTTATGTATTAGTGGGCTCGCACTCCAGAGAAAAAACATTTCTAAGAAAGCTAAGGACGATAAGTATGGAAAATGCAATTTAAATCACGCTTAAATAAGGCATTAAATTTCGAAGAAAAAAATCTATTCAAGGAAAATGTACTAAGCGAATAAATTTTACCCGTATATAATGGCTTGCTTAAGAGTCGTTCAAGAAATTTTTAAGAGAAACTGGCAGGTTTTATTGCATTTCCGGGGCTCTCAGAAGTCTCAGATTTTAAAATTTCCCGGCCCTCCAGTCTCAGAAGGCTCACGCCTTCAGCGTTCGCTAGCCCCCCCCCCCAATCAAAAAATGCCGCCGCGGTAAGGGCTATAGGTTTACCCCTGGTCACCCCCGGTCATCGTATGGCTCACCCCTGGTCATCGTATGACGTCACGTTTTTTACGATTTCGCGGCTTCACGCTCGTCAAGAGAGCCCTCCCCCCTCTGGTAAATTTAGTTCTACAGCACTGAGGAGGCAGCACATGTATGTTTTAACAAACATATATCCTGCCCCTCCATTTAAGCCATTGAGTGTCAGTGCACTCCCGTTGATGAGCAAAATCATCTAGTGTTAGACAGAGTAAAACAATAAAGAAGAGCACAATAGGGACAATGCAACTTAAATTAATGAGTTAACTAATCAACAACATGGGATTAACCCATTGAGCGCCAGTGCTCTGTCTTTGACGAGAAAAATGGTCTGGAATTAGACAATAAATAAAAGAATGGTGTGTTGGGGCGCAATGCGACTTAATAATAAACTCAAATTTTTTGCCGTTTTCAGTTCAATTAAAATTTTTGACAAATCATCTACTTTCCGTAAAGGTGGTGTAGAAACTTCACCCCACCCAGGGGCGCATTAGGAGGGGTTTGGGGGCAGTCGGTCTCAGTTTTGATTGAGACTGTATCAAAAGTCGGTTCCGAATTTCTTCTATGAGATTTGTTTAATTCACAAGACACAAATGTCTGGTGTAAACCATTGAACTAAAAATAACTGGAACGCTACGTTCAAGCGGAAATTTGAAGCTAAATTCTACAAGGTCGTACACAGGCTTTAAAAGGCCCGTTTTAAACTGAAAAGGCCCGTTTCCCTTTCGATTTGCATCCTGCCATGAAAACGTTCAAAACGGCATGCTTCGAGCGCCCCCTGCATTGTCTCGCGAGTAAATCGCGCAGTAGAAACACGCGTGAAAGTGCGTGTCTGGGAGTCAAAACTGGCTTCATTTGGCTTCATGGGAGTCAAATTTTGGCTTCAAAATTTGCATGCGCAGTTTACTGAACGTAGCGTTCCAGTTATTTTTAGTTCAATGGTGTAAACAGTCCTGAGCATTTCATCCAAATTCTTCAACTCAGTGCTGGAGATGGCATTTCCAAGCCTCATGATTTTGTAAATTGTCCCCAGGGGAGCCTGCCCCCGGATCCCACTAGTATTCACCACTCCTAGTCCTATTATACTACTCTGTTACAGTTAAATCATGTTTTGCATGCTGTGTTTGCACTTGGCTGAAAATCTTAACTATGGTTCCAAACTTAGATGGAACTGATTAGCCTCCCCCGAATAAAACCTGTTCCGCTGCCACTGGTTGTAGAGTACACT